GGTACCAAAAACTCATACGGTCGTCCTCTTCGTTTGCAGATCAAGATACCGCCATGATGCCATCGCGGTCGATTGTTCGGGGYGAAAAAAAAAACAAGAAGAAAAAAATCGGAAAAAACCACAGAAAACATGCCCCCACGACATATTGTTTAAAGGGGGGACGAGCGGTGGAATTCTGCGGCAGCTGATGATGATAATAATAATATATAGCGAGCATTGTGGGTCGTTAGCAAAGCGGAAACCGCGACGTCGCGGACAAAACGTCGCCCAACAAAAGGAGACGGATTTTTTGATCCGAAATCGAGCGGCAGATGACACGCAGACACGACCACATCGTATACGACGACGACGACGATGACAAAAAAATAATAATAATATACGTTTATTATATAGTATATATAGGTATATAGGTATATGTTATTTAAATCATAAAAGGCCATCGAGGACAACAAAAACATTAGATGCCCCGTAATGATAGCTGGTTTCAACAGTGGTGAAACAAACGCACGCGCATCGAAGGGCGGACGGATGACGGTATAGTATAGAGGAGTACAACGTGACATATATAGGCAGGTAATCGTACAGTATATATATATATATATCGTAGATATAAAATACGAAATCTCGGGCTGCGATTCGGCTTTGGTGGAACAGTGGAGAGGTTCGGACCAAATGGGGGTGGGGTGGCGTGCGGGAGCTACGGGAGGAGAGATCTTCGAGAAATGGAAACCGATAAGATTTCCGAAAGATCAAAGGCTAAGACCACATAAAAGATTTACAGAGGGTTTTTTTTTATCTATATCTATCGTGCGGTTTTTTCTCCTACCCCTAAATACGCCCCCCTCCGCCTATACGACAAATATATGTATATTTATGTGTGTGTGTGTGTGTGTGCATTGTACACTATTACACGGAATATCATGTGTAAAAACAACTCATCACACTGCATACCTATTATACTTTTCGTCTGCGCTGCACGTGAAATTGGAACTGTATTATATACAATCGCATATAATAATAATATAATATACTGTCGCGCATTACGTTATTATATTTTGTGATTGTGCTGTAGACGTTCGGTCGTTCGGTGTTTTGTTCAATGTTTTTCTTGGGTGTGTCGGCGGTATCCTGTATACSTCGACGACGTGGAAAAATAATAAAATAAACACGTCTCGTCGCCGCAAATGGTGTTACGATTTGTTGTAATAATAACGAGGGAGGATGTGGGCAACAGGGAGGCAAACTATCGGCGGGAGAGGCGTGAAAAAATGTTTTTTAATAATAACGTCGTGCCCACACGGTTTGTGCGTGAGTGTTTACCTTTCGGGGGTAAATTGCTGCAGATTTGTCGCGCGGCAAAGGGTTTTTTTTTTATATATAATATGTGGTACAACCGATTGTTTCACACCGTTTTTAACATTTTGTCGCCCACGGAAAAGGGTGCGAGCGAACAGTAATAAAAATAATAATTATATACATATAGTCGACATATTATATTTAAACTTAAAACCATTTCATATAATATCGCGTACAAATTCGTTTAGTCTTTCCGTTAGGTTAGCGTCCGGAATCCGGATGCGTTCGTTATTCACATTGTATTACATTGATCATTGGTAAGTTGTAAAAATTCAAGATTTGGAAATCAAACTACATTACAGTGTAATCAACTGTTATCGACATGCACACTATATATTYACTTTTAATTATAATATTATTAAATGACGTGATCGAACCGCAGTAGTTAAGTAGGTACATATTATGCGTGTGTATATAGGTARTGCATAGTGTTAGATACTTGGTACAAATAAACCAGCAGATTTTGAAGACTATAGATAGACGCTGATTTGTTTTTATACAAAAATGAAAATTATATAAAACAAATAACGCTTATTATACAATTATTACAATAAAATATATCTACCTTAAGTAAGTACATATTGCTTGTGTTAAAGAGAGTTACATGTAAAATACTATGATATATGAAACTCCGAGAAAAAAAATTTACAATACGGCGATTAACAGAGACAAGAACAATAATATTAAGTGGACCATTGTTAAAACAATTACTAAATTTATATTTTGTGTTATACAGTTCAACTCATCATAATAATCAAATGWTGAAAATAGTATGATCATAATGTATTTTATTGTTCGATTCCCAGTCATAAAGAATATATATATTTTTAAACAATTTTTCAAACATTTAAAAAACCAATTTTAAGTAAGTACACAAACATGTGACCACCTTTATACTTACAACGCATACAAACCGTCAATTTAAGGTTCGTTGATTAGCTTAATTAATTTTTTTTAAACGTTTTGTTCGTCTTTCACTTAAAAACTTGTGTTAATTGTATATGTATATATATAGAGGTATAAATATTTTTATTTTTTGAAAAATTAAATAGTGCAAGCAAATGCCTCCCAAACCGTTTCAGAGGTATGGTACAATATTATTGCTACCTACAAGAACTTTTACTCATCGTTAATATAATGGATAGAACAATTATATTGCATTATTTTRTATTACTGAACTGCAGTACCTACAATTTAAAACATAATAATGTCGCAATATAGTATTTCTTTAACTACTTGTTCGTTATATGAACATACTGCTACATTTGAAGGAAAGTCATATGATAAAAAAAATAAATAACAAAATAAGAGAAATTAAAAAATACAGCCAACTGTGCACTTAATATACCTACTTCAGTTTAGAATATAATAATATTATGATATAATACATAGAGTTCAAACTGGTATAGAATTTATTTTTCAACCATCATTATTATTATACTTGTTCTTCCATTTAAACGAAATCTGACTAAATTCTTAGTAGTTTAAAAAAAAATTGTACTCGACTATTTATTATTGTTTGTTTGTGCATGGATTAATGAGATGAGTACGTCACAATAAAAAAAAAAAAGTTAAAATGTTACATTTGGGATGACTCGTTGCACGTATTCAATATTATACCGTCTAGTGACTACTTTTTCAGAGTTCAAAGTTTAAACAAAAAGGCATTTTTGTTTTACTTGTAAAAATTAGATGCCACGTGTAATTCGACTATCGTGACTAAAAAAATTGTCGGATTTCCCGATGGGCTCATCCTGCAGCGTTGAATCTCAGAATGTATGATATATAATATATAATATACATTAATAATAATAATAATAATATATAATTTCATATATTCTGTGGCTGAATCTTCCAACATATTTTCGATTTATCAGCAAAAAAAAAAAAAAATAAAAACGATTGCCTA